CCAGAAAAAGCAAAACTCAGAGGCACAACCTTTACTTTTGAATCGTCTTCCCCTAAAAGCACTAAGTTATAAAGCCCAGGGCCAAAGGATTGCTGAACCACTGGGAACCAAAAGAATCCAAACTGAAAGCTGGCTGCCTCTTTTTCCAATCTTTCAAACCCCTCTGTCAGAGAAAACTCCAGATGCAATTACCTCTCACTAAAGAAAGGTGTATTTCAACAGGCTGGTGAATATGTGTCTACCACACACACAACACACAGTAAACTCTGTAGCCACTGGGAACAAACACTCTGCTCTCCCCAGAAACCCACCCCCTCACCAAACAGTACACAGTGATTGCTTTCCTTCCAGACTCTCCCTCACCTCTGGGAGAAATGAAGCAAGAAGGGACAGCTCCTCCATCAAAACCCCCCAGAGGCCACGACTCACTTTACAAATTTGAATCGGTACATTTCATGCAGACTTGGACTAATCCTCCCAAAAACAAACAGGCCACCACAGTGAGCAAAGTTACACAAAATTATATTGTATATTTAATAACACAGCTAAGTCAAGTTTCTACACCTATACCACTCATACATTTCCCTAATGACAGAAACAAGAAAGAAGGGATTAAAACCCAAGTGCGTTGGGAAGCCTTCCTGACCACACTCACTCGCACGACAGCAAGTGTTGTTCGGAGACGGGGAAAGGATTCTGCTGAGCACCTCCTTTTTCTCAGAGGGCCATAAATATGGTGTCTGCAAAGGAGGAGCTGTGGGCTCCTGTCTCTTCCCCTCCCAGGTAAACAGGGCAAGTGGGTCTATAGATTCATTTCACCACCAGGGCCCCCTGCACTCACTCTCCTGGAATGGTACAAGCATTCACAGCTACCTGGGTGAGCCTAGGTCTCGATTACATACTGCCTTCCCCCACCGTGCTCTCTCAACTTGCCTCCAGGAAGAGAGAACAGAGACTTTCAAGGGCCGCAGCTACTGTCCAAGATGCCGGTGGATGAAGGCACAGCAATGACCCAGAGGCCTGCCTCATGGCCCTCCCTCAGTATACAGGACATGGCAATAGGATAGAGACCTGAGCACACACTGCTGCCTCTTCTGCTCCATCCCACATGCGCCCTGCATCGATCTTCCCTGAGCTTCAATTTCTCCCTCTGCCAGGAGGGGAATGGCACTCCCTCTTCCCCCTCAACCAGAGACAGCCTGGTTTGAGGCACTTGGTGTCAACCATTACAGCTATATACCCATCTCATGCCCACACGTGAATAAGATCCTCGGGGAAGCTTCCACACAGCAGAGTTCAGTCAACACAAAAGGAGTGAGAAGAAAAGGAAGTGAGAAAGGAAGAGATGGAAAGTAGGAGAGATTGGAAAAGAGTCTTTAACAGTTCTGCATTTCCTCACTCTTGAGTATTTACTAACTTTATTTAGCTGGAAATAATTTTTAAATGGGAATAAAACATTGCACATTTTAAAAACTCTGCTTCTCTGTGTTGCTCATAGAAAAGTGCTCAGAATTCAATGTGACCTGGGGAGGTTGCATCTCTGAGACCAGTATTTCTGAATGTATTTCAGCTCCACATTTACACCCAGACATGTCCCTTACATCCTAGGCATACCTCCAGCATCTCACTCCTGTTCGTCTCAACCCATCCTTCCTTCACTCATCAAACAGCTCCAGGCTGGGCCTCCTCTAGAGGAGCTGGGCTGCATCCATAAGTCATGAATCTTAGAAACAGGATTACTGGAGTCGGGGCAAGAAGATGGGTAGGAGGGCACACCGGAGGGAGAGGAGAAGGTCCCTGCCTGCCACCCTCCTGTGGAGACTACTAGTTTTCCTTCTGTGTTTTCTGAGTACCTAACACAGCTCTAAGCACATAACTGGTATTAAATATCACCCTCCACGACTGTTTATGAATCAGGAACTCAAGGTCAGGGAAGGAAGGAAAGGCGACATTTGGACACAGGACAGGATACCTGCTTTCTCCCAGTCATGAGCACCTCAAATTAAGCCTCAGGCTTAAGGTTCCATGTTTCATACTACGTGTTTCAGTACACACATAAGAAGGCATCAAAGATAAATACAATGAATAGTTCTGACAAATTATTTGAAATAGAAGAAAGGGGTTAATCGAGAAAAAGGATGTGCTAGGTCTCCTAACTGTCCCGGTTCCTTCTAACTATAGGAAGAAGCAGTGAAGGGGGTGAGAGGTCGTCGGGTAAACCAGACGACTGCCCTAGAGCTGCTGCCCACTTCTCCTCATGTCCTACATGGTCACATCACAGTAGTGACACTGACAACCACACCCAACAGAAAAGGTGGCAGGGAGGGAAACAGAAGGCAGTGACCATGGGCAACAACACTACAGGGGGAAAAAGAGAGGAAAGAGAGATTGCTGCTGAGTGCCCACCTCCATAAGACTGCAAAAGAGCATGTAATGACACGAGGGCTGGGACAAGCCCCGGGCAAGGGTGGAGATGTGAGAGCAGCTAAAGCCACTAAATAAAGGCCACACCAGAGACAGAAATTCTGGTTGACATATATCATAGCCCTTTTAGCTTTGCAGAGTATTTTCTTATTCATTGTTTCAGGTCATCTTCACAATAATCTAGCAAGGTCTATAAAGGAAATAGTATTCCCTTTTAAGATATGAGGAAATGAGGCTCAGAGAAAGGAATGACCTCCGTGAGGCCGCCCTGCTGGTTGGTGGCAAAGCAGAACTCCAGTTTCCACGACAGACCCTGGAGGCTGCAGGCAGTGTCTCCCCAGATTGGGAAAATGGATAAGTTTATTGAAAGTTTTCAATTCATGGATACAGCGAAAAGAAATAGATCTAACAATAAGATGAAAAGACCCCCATCCCAGTATATTCTTTGGTTCAGAGAAAAAGGGGCAGAGGTAAACCCTAGCATATACCCCAGTCTTCTGGTCATCTAGTGTAAAGACAGGATCCCAGATGCAAACTATTTTTTAAAAGAATCCAACACTCCATCTGCGGAGTTGGGAGAAAGATCATCTCAAATAACTGTGGGTCAGGAGCTGAACAGCCAGCCAACAGTGAGCGAAAGAATCACCCAGGGTGAAGACAGAGCACCAAGAGGACAAGAAGACTCCGAAGGAGAATGCGAAGAAAACACTAGCCCCAGGTCTTCACCAAAGACCAGGCACATCAAGGACTGAGCAGAGGGTCTGGCACAGAGCAAATGACTAACAATGTTAGCTGCTGGTAGTAGTAGCAGTCATAGAGTAGTACTAGTAACAAGAAAGCTAGGTCCTCCTTCAAAGCCAGTTTCCAACTTGTGGCCCAAAAAACCCCTGTTTATTGTGCTGTAAAACGCTTCCTAACGATGAGGGCAGACTCTTCCTCAACCACTCTCACTGACAGCATCTTCAACAGTTGCCACGCTCTAGTCTGTTAACAGGTCACCTAACACGTTCCAGAGGAGGTGGCTGGGGTACAGGAATAGGGGCGTGGGGTGCTGGGAGAGCCTGTCTGTGTTCTTTGGCTTAAATCCATGTGCAGGAAGCACAAGGACCATCTTCAGCCCTGAAAAGCTTCCTGCTACTCCCAACCCCACCCCAGTCTGGGCTTGTCTCCTAAAGCCAGCAGAAGTCCACAGGTAACCACTAAGACAAAGTCACCAGCCCACCTGTCACCTCCTCCAGGCTGTCCCACCTTCCTTCAATCCTTAACACATATCTAGCCCACAGACCCCCAAGCCTGTCTACCTGGCTTTACAAGGGACAGCATCAGGAAGAAACTGAGGAGGGGACAAAGCCCTGTGGCTCCATCATCTACCCTCTGCTCCCACACACTTAGGCTTTTCTACTCCCTGCTAGTCTTTCCTTTCCTCTTTCCGAGGATTGCTAGAATGATTTGTTCTGAACAGCGACAGGTTTATAGGTTAGCCGACACCTCCGCTCTGTGGAATTTTAATTAACTTCTCCCATCGTCAATATGCTAAGGAACGGGGTATCCATTCTCTGGGGTCAGCAATGTGTTTCAGGTCCTGCTATATCAGCCGTCAAATTGAAGAATTAATGACGTGGCTAATCGGCTCTAATTCTTTACGAAGAAAAAAATTTGAAAGGGAGTTGTGGAACAGGGCAGGAGGAGGGGTGCAGGCTCCATGGGGTGAGGAGAAGGAGGGGGAAGGGGGCGGAGTAAAGTGGGGGATCAACTCTCTCATAAAACCAGCGACTGACTTCAACCCACTGTTGGAGGATGGCAGCCCTAGTCTTCCCATTGATCGTTTGGGAGGGGAGTACAGGGTGAAGGAAGTGGGGGAAGACCCTAGGTAAACACTCTGACAGAGCAGGTGCAGGAGAGGGCTGAGGAGGAGAGGCTCTGCCTTGGTTCAAGAGACCCTAGAAAGCAGAAGTCAGAATGCAAAGCTCATTCATTCATAGGTAAAACTAGAGAAATACCAGTCAGGCCAAAGGGGAGGGTAAAGCCACCATCAAAAATTGGCACTTCTGCTACAATTGTCAATGAATCTACTCCACATACACGCCTTTGGATGAGGGCCCAAGTGGACATGGGCCCCAAGTCTCTCCTGATGACTCAACTCTGTATGGGATACTCCAGAAGACATTTTCCAAGGGGAACAAACCACAGATGTGAGTTGTGAGAGCAGGTTGGCTGATGTCGTCACCTCCCGGGGCTGCGAGGCCTCTGCTTTGGGAGCAATCCCGGAGGGCATCTGCTCCAAAAGGGACACTCTTGTAACAGCTGGACTCAGTTACATTCTAACATAATATCTTTTCCTTCACATTTCTGGTGTTAGATGCTCAGGAAGTTAGCCCCTAGAAAGTTATCTCAACCCCACACATATATGAAGTGAGCCACAGACCTCAAGTTTCTAGACAATTTCCAAAATCTCCAGGAGAGTGGCTCAAAACAACCTAGAACACACAGGTGGAAGATTTTCTAGCCCATGTAAGCTCGTAAAATAAAAGCATTATTATACGGGACAAATCCATATCCAAAAACATCTCCCTTACCTGAGCAATGGGCTGATAGCAATGGACCAGACTCGGTCTTCAGTCTGGATGGTGTGTAAACACTGCCCCAGCCGGCCTGAGGCCAAAGGCCATACCTGGAAACAGGAGAGGAGATGCTCTCGTTGGCATTGCCTGGGATTGGTATGGGGAGGAGAAAGATGTACTCAGTGGCGTGACTGTCCCTAGGAGGGGTGAAGGGTGGGGAAATGGAGAATTCTTTCCATCTTGTATACACAGAGCTCAGGGCATCAGCAGAGGGGCCCTCTCTAGCTTCTGGATTGCCTACCACCCAAATAGACCCTGGCTCCCAGTCCTAACCACCACCCTCTTTTACTTCCACCTGACAGCCCTTACTTACTAGCCAATTTTGTTTTTTTCCAAAGATTGGCCCTGAGCTAACATCTGTTGCCAATCTTTTTTTCTTCTTCTTCTCCCCAGAGCCCCCCAGTACACAGTTGCATATTCTAGTTGAGGGTCCTTCTAGTTCTACTGTGTGAGACGCCGCCTCAGGATGGCTTGATAAGCAGTGCTAGGTCCACACCCAGGATCTGAACCAGCGAAACCCTGGGCCACCGAAGCGGAGCACACAAACTTAACCACTCGGCCACGGGGCCAGCCTCAACTTACTAGGCAATTTTATGCCAGGGAATCAGAAGTTCCACATTCTCCAGCTGAGACTTGACTGAGTGGAGTGGGTACATGGGGCTTGCTTCTCTCTGCAACCTCCCCATGTTTGTGGATTTTCTTTTTTTCCTTTCTCTCACCAAGATTTTACTTTGGTGAGGTGGGGAAAGGAAGGAAAGATCAAGGCACAGTATGAGAGGACAGAGATAGAATTAGAGTAGAATTAGAGGAGTAAAAAAGAAGATTCAAGAGAAGGAAAGAATGGAAGAAGAAGAGAGACTTCAAAGTAGGAAGGTGGTATGTTGTTGTTTGTTTGTTGATAATGCCCAGAATCCAATGCTATTCATGTCAGCAGGGAATTTAGCACCTAGTGTCACCAAAAGTAGCAGAAAAGCTTAACTCTTTTAAGCTTCCATATCTCCTACAGGTTAAAAATATTGCTTGGAGCACATTATCTGGTCCCTATCAGTCAGGAATGTACATTAGCAGCCACTCTGGGCTTAACTCTAATCAACACTCACAGAGCCCTCTCAGCAGTCAGTGCATTTAGAAATCTCCCATTAAGCACAAGGCCCCCCTCACCTTACCCTACCCTAGATGACACACACAGGGAAATAAGCCTCTAACCAAACAGAAAGGAAATCTCAAACATACAGGGCTGTGCCCAGACAACAGCCAAGGAGGGATCCTGAGGCAGCCAGATGTATCAGCGACCTCTCAAGGTCCCTGCAGTGCTATAAGGGGAACACACAAAAGTCAGTCAGGACCTTAGATGGAAGAACTTTCAGGAAACACTCCTTGGGTTTAAGGAGTATGTGACGGAGCGGGGGTAGTCCTGCCTTCTTAGGGTCACATGATATCTTTTCCCTATAAAAGGAGAAAGCGTTTCTTAGATTTTGGGTTTCTATGATGGAGGAGGAGAGTGTGAGTTACTTTTCCCAACACAGAGAAAAGATAATAAATTTAATAAGAAGATCCTGACCAAACAGGGGCAGAAAACAAAGGTAAATACCCTAACTTCCCTGGTGTGCCATGATTCTGGCTTACTCTTCTGGATCTACAGTCAGGCCACTTTGGTAGTAACTAGATGCACTTCTAATGTCCTCTTTCAGATGCCTCAGCTTGGAAGAGAGGTTTGCCTTTTCCCTGATGCAAACTCCCGAGGAGGCAGGTTCTTGCTTAGGAGGTGGGGAGACACTGAGGACTCTGATTATGAAATCTATGGGGACAGCCCTAGGCCTGAATTCACTAGTGGCCTCCATGGAAAGGGCTAGTGGATTCCTAGATCATGCCAACCACAGAACAAGGTCCCTGGTCTCCATGAGTGGCTCAGGAAGCATGCTGCTAATTCTGAGCATGATCTTGGGAAGCGCCCCACCTGACCTGCCTCGGCAGCACACTATCCACCAGAAACATGAGTATGTTGATCACGTATTCACCCTCAGTGGTCAAATCCAAAACAGACTCATGCCTCGAGAAGATACAACTCAGTGGGAGTGGACATTTATGCAATCCTTTTTAAAAGTTGGCAATATGTATCAAGACCCTTAAAACGACCAAAGTTATCAACTCGGTAATTCTAATGCTGAGACTCTATCCTAAGAGGATAATCCTAAAATGAAGAAAAACCTAAATGCTAAAAATATCCCCTGCAGCCTGTGGCAGCAGAAAGAGCATGCACGGGCTTCTGAGTCAGACAAATCTGGGTTTGAACCCTGGTTGTTTACTTATTATCTCTGATCTTTGGGATGTTTCAAAACTTCTTAGCCTCAGTTTCCTCATGTGTAAAATTGAGAAATAATACCTATCTTTCATGGTTGCAGTGGGGAAAAGTGAAGATATGTACAAAGCACCCAGCACAGTATTGGGCAGTTATTAGGCATCAATAATGGTGGTTCTTATACTATAGCAAAAAACTAGATACAAGCATCACCAATAGTAAAAATGGTAACTAAATTATGGTAAGTCCATTGTGAAGCCATTAAAGGTGACACTTACAAATACTTTGTAATAATAATAGAAAACCTTATAAAATAAAGTAGATACAGCAGGGTATATTGTGTACCTAAAATATATTATGAGCATAACTATCTGAGGAAAGAATTACCCTAAAGGATAAAATGAGAAAATGAACAAATGTGAAGTGCTTAGCACAGCGCCTGGTTACATTCTATATTGTTATAAAACAAACAAGCAAACCTATGCATTGAAAAATAACCAAAAGAAGAAAAAAATTCAAATGTTCCCTCCTTCATAAAGTCTCCTTTTCCAAGCCAGATGTGGTCTCTCCACCCTCTGCACTTTCTGGCCGTTTCCCCAGAGCCTCACACCTCAGTCCCAGCCACTTCTAATCAGCGTCATAGCCAGTGCACACCTGTCTCAGCTCGCCTTAAAGAGAGAGGCTGTATCTTTTGAAGAGCCCTGCCGTTGTGCATACAGTGGGCATTTACCAGAATGAATGAAAGAATAGAGAAAAAGGAGGAAATGAAGGAATGGTCAGTACCGGCCCAAGCCTACCAAGAATGTAAGCTACCATCCCATCACATCTCAGGATGGAGCTGGCCCTCCTAAAGCCCAGAGAGGCAATCCAAGCTAAGTCACAGTAAGTTTGAAACTAGGTTCGGGGAGGGGAAGGAAGCAGGCTCTCTGGGCAGTCCCTAGCTCAGAAGTCGTGTGGAGAAAATGTTTTGGTTCCCTTCACCCCAATAAAATAAATCTCTTTTCTAAAACACAGTACATATGTGGGCAACTCCCAAAAACCAGGTTATAGATGTTTACAGGGAAACATGACTAAGTTCTTATGTAGGTTCAGGTATTAGAAGCCTGTGGAAGTGGCAGTAGAATTGCAGATGCTACTGAAGAGACACAGAGTCAGTGAGAAAAGACCAGCTGTAGGTAATGTGGAAATGGGCCAGGGAGACGAAGGTGGCTAAATGCAAAGACAACAACAGAAAGGAGAGAACAGCAGCAACATCCAGAGAGCCAGAAAAGATGAGCTGGCCTGGAGGTCACTGGGGAGCCCTAAAACAGCTGACTAGCTTTCTGGAGTTGAAGAACCAGGGGGCAGAATTCTGTCACTGACCTAAAGGAAATCCTCAAAAGGAACAGAATGGACTGCAGTGACCATTTTAGAATTAGAAAGTACCTATTTTAATGCCTAAAAAAATTTAAGCCACTAAATAGGAATGAGTCGGTACTTAAAACATGAAATTAACCCAATATCCCAAGTAAAATTGCTATCATTCTTCAACCATAAGCAGTCCATACTCCTGAACCTCTACCTGTAGTCACAAAGCTTAGCTTATACTGCTCTGGGTGTCTGACCACAGAGAATAGAAGAAAGAGAGGTCTCTGGAAAGGAAGAGCCAGCAGAAGCTTGAAGCCATGACAAGAAGACGCTAGACTGAGATGGGAGTGTCTAGGTCACACATGCCACAAAAGGTTTCTATGCAAATTGACTTCTGGGCTGTATGGCAACCTAAGGGCAGTCTCTTTGCAAGGAATGGTACAAAGAGAGTGACCAATCAGAAACCTGGAGTAAGTATAGGGTAGGGAAATGGGAAGGAGGGGATAGGAAATTTAGTTTCCATGTTGGTCCAAAAGATTTTCTGGAATTTTCTGTTTCCCTATGATGGTACACATGTCTCTCTGACAGAGTGTAAGGAAGAAAATAGGAAAGGGAGGAGAAATTTCCATAAATAGAAGGGAACATATTTAGCCCTTCTTTTTACATAAATTAGCAACATTTTTACGTGAAGGAGTAATCACCAGAGAGTACGCGGAGTCAGAAAAGTCAGTGAGTAAAGATTGCAACTTCTCTTTCCCTATGTCTCTTAGAGGCCCTTTTGCTGACACAGACAGCATTTTGCTCCTGTTAGCACCGTGGAGTCTCCAGATACTGGGAAACAGACAAGCAAGACAATATTGGGCCTCCTGCACCATCAACTGAATTGTCAGCAAAGTTCCCACGGCAGCCCCAAAGGACCAGGCATGTGTGGGCCCCGGCTAGGGCTGCTGGACACAGGGATGCAGAAAGTTCCCTATCTCACGGAGGGGAGCCCATTTGACCCAGACATGGATGAGCTGAGTCCATAAAGCAGGGGTCACACTACTTATCAGCCTCACTCTGTTATGCCTTGGCAGATATCTGACTGTAGACCAGGCAATTTGGCAGTGATAGAGCAAACAACACCCTTCTCCCGTCATCTTTCTACTGCTTACTGACCACATCACTCTCCAGAGAAGCAATAAAAACACATTTTAATTATCAGCCTGATTGCTTATAAACAAGGTGGTGAAAAATTAACCTCCCTAAACAGAGAGCAAGCAAAAGGAGGGAGATTTTAAAATAAAATATTGGGGTCAGAACTCAACCCACAAACTTGAGGAAACTTAGCTCAGGGAGGAAAAGCTGGCTAGGCCCTCTGTTTTTGAGTTCACGCCACATTTCAAGTGAGTGGCAAGCTTCCCAGCCACTGTCCACTCCTTTCCCAGGCCAGCTGGCAGGGACACAGCCTGGCAGGGCAAGCTGCATGCCAGAGGCACATAAGTGAGCTCTTTATCGTGTCGTTTCCCCTCCCGCCCCCACCCAATGCTCTCAGCCAATCCCAAGACTCAAGGCCCCATCCACCCTCTCCCACCCCACTCCCTATAGACAGGAGGGAATAACAGTATGTAAGGGGGAGACCACCTCACCTTGGCCGTCCGGTCCCTGGAGCCACTCACAATGATACCCCCTTTGCAATCCACACAGTTCACCTCCTGTTCATGAGCCGAGTACTTGACAGTGAAGGTGCTATGAATCTTATGAATTCCAATCTTCCCATCTCTAGGAGAGAAATAAGGAGCCCACCCCCAAAAGCTAATTATTCTTTCTGCAGGAAGAGAACAAGTCTACAGAAACAGCCCAAGTCTCCAGTGACATCCAAATTTGCTAAGCGTTAGGCAATTCAGCCCAATAAGGTGCTGAGCTTCTAGATACTTCTACTTCTTCAGTACACTGGGCGCTGAACAGAGCCAAGAGACAAAACAAATTCCCCCCTTGAGAGTATCAAAACCAGCTTCACTTTTCATTAAAGGCTCTTCCTGTTTTCCTTCTCCAGCTAACCCTATTAAGTGCCTTTGGTAAATCTCTCTGCTTTAAATGGAAAAAAACCACTACCCCTTCTAGTCTCCCTCCTCATCCCTTTGGAGCTGAGACAGAGAAGTCCCTGAAGAATACTACAGAAGAGGGTGGAAGGAGAAGCCTGCAGCACTTACCCTCCCGCACTGATAATATGTGAGTTGGCCAGCACGAAATGGCAAACATCCTCATCATGGCCTGCAAAGACTCCCAGGGGCCTCCGGTTCAAGCTGGCACCATCTGGGCGGAACTGATAGGCCAGGATGAAATTAGCCTGGGATATGTACAGAGAATCACCCTCTAGCTGCATCCAGGGCATCTGACTGCAGAGATGGAAAACAAAATTTAAGGATCATCAAGACACAGCATGAAATTCGACTCCGATCTTTGAGAGGCTGACCAATCCCCAGCTTAGCAAGGATAACCTGCAAGGCTAAGTCTATACCTTGCTCCCCTCCTTCAAAATTACCCATCCTTAGGCTACCCTCAGAAAACTAGACCGACTGAGCTTTGTGGTGACCTAATCTTCTTTGGACACTCTAAAAGAGAATCAGAATTAAAAGACCAATTAAATAATTGAAGAATGCTTAAGACTTGAATTATTTGCAACCTAGATTTCTTGTGGGTAGGCAGAGCTTAGAAAATGTAATGATTGATGCATGGGGAGGGGCAAAAAGAAACCTTCCATCTGGATGAATTTTCTTCCGTTCTGCATCCTCACTGATTTGAAGTGTAAGTGATAAGTTTCAAGGTTCCAAGACTCCCATTCATACCTCTGTCCCAACAGATCAGTTAAGGTGTGACAGAGAAAAGAGAAGAGAGAGCCCAGGGATGCCCCAATCTCTCATCCTTCTAGAGCCCTGTTTATAAGTGAAAAGAATAAGCCATTTAGGACAGGAGGCTAATGTACTGATTAGATACCTGGATCCTCACAGGGGAAATCTACATTTCTGTATTAGAAGGTAAGTGTGGCAATGGAAAAACACAGCTCCATAGCAGTCTACTATAGTTCCGGGGCTACAGAGAAATAGTCAGCTCTCATAGGCAGCTGATAAGAGAAATCCACAAATGGTTAAAGATTTCCTCTACAATCTGGCAGGAAGAAGAAAGGTTAAAAGCCACAGGCCAGTCCCACGGCACGGAGTAAGCCTTAAGAAGAAAGAAGACTCTGCCAGAGACCAGGCTCTGTGTGGGGACTAACCCCCTTCCCAAGGCAGACATCCCAGCTGCCTGTCCTACTCTACATAGGGGTCCTGGAGCTACCAAGTCCCGAGCAAAGCATAGGGAAGGCGGATTCAGCCCCATTTACAGAGTCATCATCTCCCACTGCCAAGTCTGTCTGAGCAAACTGGGCTCTGTTTCTTCCCCAGACTCTTTAATACAAGCGTCATGGGAAGGTGGAAAAGTTCTGCAAATTGACTTGACGGGCCATTAAATGCAGCTTGGACTTTGTAGTAACTGAGTTTCTGTTCATGAGGTTTTACAAGTGTGCGCATATATTATATGGAACATGTGTAGTGTGTATAGATGCCTACATTCTCACCCATTCTGCACATTCCTCTTCAACATCCCCTTGCACGAGTTTGTGGCACTCATTGGGGCTTGGAATTCATATGTTTAGAGCCATCTGGTAAACAGCCATTTGTCTAGGACAAGAAACCAGGTCAACCAGGTTCATGCCAGGTGAACAGTGGAGAATCCCAGGGCAGCCAGCTAACAGTTTTGTGTGTTTATTTGCCAAACTGCTTGAAACCAGCCCAAAAAGATGTGAGGGACAAAACCTTGATAGAGAAATTAACTCTACTCTTTGGCATTTAAAGGCAAAAGGGGGAAGCTGAGGGTAAAGTCTGTCATCATAAAATTCCGTCTTTCTGCCCTGTAGTTTCTTTCCCATCACCACCACCACATAATTCCTAGCGAATGATGTCAGTGAAACCAGCAGAAACTGGATACAAGCAAGAGAGAAAGAGGCATCAGATGAAGAAAACTACCTGTACCTATCAGCACAGGGACAGGTCAACCTACAGTGAGGAATCATGATGCTTCCTATCTATTCCAACCAATCAACATGCTGCACTTTTTCGGTAGGGAGTCAAATAATAACTACGAAATAATTTAGCATCAATGAAGCATAAAATTTGTGGGGTTAACAGTTCCAAAGCCATTATCTAAATTTCCTGGCACTTTTTCTAAGCTCTAACTCCTGTAACATATATATCCAAACATTTACATCCTATTTTGACTTGCAATAAAGTAGGGGAGAAGGCTACAGGAAGCCAAGAGTAAAGGTTTAACTCCCTAGAACAGAAGATTTAAAGAAACATTGTAAAACTAGATGAGTTGAAATATTGGCTTCATTTATTTCTTTTGATGAGATACACTAACAGTGGTTACTTCTGAGTGGTAGGATAGCAGGTAAGTTTTATTTTCTTCTTTAAACTTTTCTATTTTTTTCAAATTTCTAGAATAAACATATATTATTTTTATAATTATAAAAAATATGGAATTTGTTAAAATACATTTTTTGTCATCCTTTTTTTAAATGTGAAAAAAAGTCCCTCTGATGCCCTCTTTGTGGTGTTTAAAGGATCACCAGTGCCACACCACCCAAGACAGGCATATTGACACTCTAGCTAGGACTAGATTTTCTACTTCCCCAGCATGCTTTTCTGTCCCAGGTAGATTTAAAAGAGTCAAGAGGCTGCTTACCTGCATCTCCACTTCAGCAGAATCCCCTCTCGGCAGTGCCCTAACTTCCAGTTCTGAGACACCTTCACCCGTTCCTTCACTGGTACACTGGGCATCCTGTCCAGACACAACAGATAATCCAGTCACTACAACGCATTGCCAACCAGAGAAAATTCCATAGGTTTACAAGTCAGGACTCGGGAAAATCCAGAATATATCTGGACATAAGTAAATGGGGTAGGAGACAAGAAAGGAGTACCTCTTCTCTCTCGATACTAGGATAACCAAGAAAGCCCAGGAGAACAGCCTGCCATTAAAGTGTCTATAGTGACATCAAAGCAATCTAATGGAGAAAGGATGACAATGAGTCCTGGAACCACCAGCTATCCACAAGGGAAAAAAATGAACCCTGACCCCTACCTCACATCATACAGAAAAATTAACTCAAAATAGATCACAGACCTAAACATAAAACCTAAAACTATAAAGCTGTTAGAAGAAAATACATAAAAATATCTCTGTGGCTTAGGGGGTAGGCAAAGCTTTCTTAAGACAAAGAAAGCAATAATGTACAATAAAAATTCAATAAATTAGACTTCATCAAAATTAAAAACTTCTGCTCACCAAAATGAATACACAAGCCATGGTCTGGGAGAAAATATTCACAAAATGTATATTTGACAAAGGGCTTATATCCAGAAAATATGAGGAAATCCTCTCTGTATATGTATATATATATTTTGAAGGTCAAGAAGGAACTCTCCTATATGCTTGGTGGGAAAGCAAAATGGTACAGCCATTTTGGGAAAAGGTCTAACAGTTTGTTATAAACCTGAACATAAACCTACTCTATGACCTAGCAATTACCCAAGAGAAATGAAAGCATAAGTACACAAAAACAGTCTTAGGAATTTTAGTCATAATAGCCAAAAGTTGTAAACAGCCCAGGCATCCATCAACAGGAGGATGGATAAACACACCACAGTGTATAGTCATACAATGGAATGCTACTCAACAATAAAAAGGAAAGAAATATTGATACACACAGTAATGTGGGTGAATCTCAAAAACACGCTGAATGAAAAAAATTTTACACAAAAGAGTTCGTATCGTTTGATTCCACTTATGTGAAGTTTGAGGAGAAGGATAGCTAATCTATGGTGGAAAAATCAGAACAGTGATTTCCTGGTAGGGACAGCGATTGACTGGGAAGGAACATGTGGAAACTTTCTGGGTAACATCGTATATCTAAATCTTGAAGGAATTTGGGTTACACAGGTGTGTATGCATTTGTCAAAAACAAATCAAATGATACACTTAAAATTTGAGCATTTCACTGTATATAAATTTTTCTTAAAAAAAAAAAAAAAAAAAAGAACCTGGGGCAGGCCCTGTGGCCGAGTGGTTAAGTTCATGCACACTGCTTCAGCAGCCCAGGGTTTCGCCAGTTTGGATCCTGGGTGTGGACATGGCACCGCTAGCCAGGCCATGCTGAGGCAGTATCCCAAATGCCACAACTAGAAGGACCCACAACTAAAAATACACAACTATGTACCAGGGGTCTTTGGGGAGAAAAGGAAAAAATAAAATCTTTAAAAAAGAAAAAAAGAACCATAAACTAATACACTCTAGTCACTGATGCGCATGCATGCAGAAGTGTTTAGGGGTGAAGTGTACTGATATCTGTAACTCATTTTGAAATGCGTAATAAAGCAAATACAGTAAAATGTTAAGTGTAGGATCTAGATGAGGGGTATATGAGTGTTCACTGAAAAATTCATTCAAGTTTTCTATGATTTAAATTTTTCATTTAAAAAATGTTGGAGGGGAGTGTCAATAGTACTTTTTGGATGAGGAAAGTTAGAATAGTAAGAAATAAGGGAGCACACTAGCAGTAGGAATGGCATAGTTTGGGGGTGGGTTGGAGTAGCAGGGGGTAGGGAGAAGGGCTCAAAGTCCCTTTGAAACTGCACCTTTGGACAGAATTTTGAAACTGTGAGCAAGAATTTGAAAATTCTATTTTGGGCCCCCACATCTCCCCTGGGTCTCCTTGGTTTGCTCCACTGGACAATACAAGGTACACTGCTCAGGACGCAGAGTGACCACTGCCATGTCCACTGAGAAAAGGAGAGAGACACGTTTCTTCATTTCTACTACACCTTCACATTTATCACCCTTTACTAAAAGACAGCAAGCAAGTCCTGCTTTCACGATTGTAACAGATACAGGTTAGAAGGAATGGTTTTGGCAAGCAGAAAGAGAGAGACCCAATCCATTCCTGGATAAATGATAACTCTGCCTCCCGGCCTCATTTCATTTATTAATTTGTATAGCATAATTACTTTTGGTTAAGAAAGTAATAAATGCACACGGTAAAAAAAAAAATGCCAATAGTATAAAAGGTTAACAATGCAAAAGTAAGTCATTCTCACTCCTGGCTGAGACCCTCCCCAGAGGCAACAGTACAATATATACAGGGTAGATTCATATATTGGTGTGTGTGTATTTATACATAAACTCACTTTTTGATTTAAAAAGTAGTAGTATATTATTCTACTCTTTGCTTTCTTCACTTAACAGTAAGTCTTGGGGATCATTCCATATCAATACTTTTTGTGTGTGTGAGGAAGAATGTCACTAACATCTGTGCCAATCTTCCTCTCTTTTATGTGGGATGCCAACACAGCGTGGTTTGACCACAGGTGCTAGGTCAGCACCTGAGATCTCAGCCTGCGAACCGAGGGCCTGCGAAGTGGAGCTCCTGAACCTAACCACTATGCCACCAGGCCGGCCCTCATATTGGTACATTTAGATTCATCTCATTCTCTTTTACAGCTGCATAGAATTCCATTGTGTGACTCAATCATCATTTTAATCAATTTAAAAGGTTCCCAGGCTTCAGCTATTAAAAACAATAAATATCTTTATACCTCAAATTATGTGTGAGAATATATCTAGAGAAAAAAATTATTAGAAATCGTATTGAACGGGTCAAAGGAAAATATTTTTTATTTTGATAGATACTACCAAATTGTCATCCAAAAGAAGTTATACCAACTTACACTTCCAATAAAATATTAGGGTGTTTATTTCTGAATATCTTGATTTTTTTTAACTTTGGAATAATTTTATATTTCCAGAAAAGTTGCAAAGATTGTACAGAGTTCCCATATACCCTTCACTAGGCTTCCCCAACATTAATGTCTTACACAACCATATTTGTCAAAACTAAGAAATGAACACTGGTACACTACTATTAACTAAACTCCAGATTTTATCAAAGTTCATCAATTTCTCCACTAATGTCTTTCTCTGTCCCAGGATCCCATCTAGCATCCACATTGTATTTAATTATCATGTCTCCTTAATCTCCTGTGTCTATAGCAGTTTCTCAGTCTCTCCTTATTTTTCATGATCTTGGCATTGTTTATTTTTCTTTTTATCTTTGCCATTCCAAGAAGTAAAAAAAGATTCCTCCCTGTTGTTTAAACATGTATTTTTTCTAATTATGGATAAAACTGAATATCTGGTCATATGGTTGAAAGCCATTAGCACTTCTTCTGTGAAATGCTTGTTCAGGACCTTTGTCCCTCTTTCTACTAGGTTCATGGTCTTTTTCTCATGAGTTCGCAAAGACTCTTTATATATTCTGTGTTGTCAATTTTTTTCCAATTTATTATTTTCTTTTTACTTAATTTTTAGTTTTTATCCATGCATTTTTAATTTTTATATATCCATAATTTCATGTTAATCTTTTGAAACACTTTAAAGACAGTCAATGTTTAGGAAAGGTCTTCCTGTTACAATTTTCTGGCTAAAGGAAAGTTAACCCAAAATATATTTTTATTTCAAATCTTACCTCTGAAAATCTTTCAACAAAGTAAGTAAAGTTTAGTTAACTCAACTGAATACTATTTAAAAATTATTTAGAATGCTATAATTGCTCTGGATCGTGATTCCAAAGATAATTTATTTAACAAACATTTAATATGGTGCTTAGGATGTGCCAGGCACCGTTCTCATTTACCCAATGCCTTATGCATAGTAAGTATCAATAAGCGTTTTGGTGATAGAGCGATTATACTTCCTGCATTCTGTCCAAATAGAGGACATTGGAAATAAGAAAACTGTCTTTCAATTTTAAAAAAGAAAGCCAGAAATTAACCAAACTGATATGAACTTAATATAAATAACAAAGGAAAATTTGAAAGTCAAGAAAGAAATCACAACTTAATTAGTGCTCTTGGGTTTGCATAGCATGTTCCCAACTTTATCAGAAAGGAGGGAGGGAAAAGAATATACATGCCTAGAAAGAACACTGGAAGGATACAGTAGTCTAAAATGGTTAACTGTGCATAGGCAACTTTAAGTATTTTTATTTTCTTCGTGTTTTTGTGTATTTTCCAATTTTTCTACAATGTAATTTTTGGTAAAGAGAAAAATACTCATTAAAATAATAAGGCTGTTGAGAAAACTGGATGTCAATAGAGCAAAAACCCGATTTAAATTACCATCTCATATCACAATATCATAAATTCCAAAAAAATGAAAGAGTGCATTTAAAAGAGTTTTTTAACTAGAAGAGTTTAAAGTATTTAAATTTTAAATACTGCATAGAAGAAAAAAAGAGATTAAAGTGAAAGAAACAGAGTAGGGGAAAATTAACAATTAATACTGTAGGTATAAGTTTTATCCCTAAAACTTTTAGGGTGCTGATAAATAATCTATGAGGATAACACTCTGTCTCCAATACCCCATAAAAGCGGATAAGAACAGCCCCACAGTACTCACATGATAAAACGCTGGGAAAATGTCCTGCAATAACAATCGTTTACAAACATGCTCATTAACAGAATTCTTCAAGTACCACCTCACATCTATTAAGTGGAAAAACTAGACATTAGCTTTGGTTTGAGAGAAGGGTTTGGGTTTGGTTATATATTGCTGGTAGCACGCTGGGACAGCCCTTCAGAAAGGGATCCTGTCAAGAACAGTTGTTAAATGACAACTTCTGACCCAGCACTCCCACTTTGGGCACTATATCACAAAGAAATCATTCAGAAGAAAAACATATTTTTTACTAAGATATTTATAGTTGCAGCTATATATTAGAGCTAAAATCTGGAAACAGCCCAAATGTCTCTGTGTGGGGGAGAATGGTATACTAATACAATGGAATATATTGCCATGAGAAATTACAAATGTGAGGACTGCAAAATATTTTGGAAATGAATATAACGAGTAATGGTAATTTTAAAACTAAGTCAAATTCACAAAGGTAGACGTGAAGAGACACTACATAAAATTATGTCTCCGTAAATAACAGGTCAGAAGAGGTAAATAGATGGTACTTTAGGAAGTAAGAAATTTTTTTAATATATCATAATTATTGACAGTTAGGTCTTCCAATTCACCTTTAACTAAATAGTAGATTAAAGAAGTTGTGGAAAAAGCACAGAATGCAGACTTAGGAAACTGGATCTGAATCCCAATTCTGTCTCTTACTAATTATACAACCCTGGTTACCTAACTTCTCTAATTGGCAATTTCTTCATCTATGAAATAAGGATATTTCACACAATTGTGGTGTTTCAAAGATAACAACCAAAACAAAGCACAGTATAAGTTGTAAATCACTACAAAAAGGTTAATTATTTTTACATAAATATATATAGTAGTTAATATCCATTAATGGTGTCATTGCTGAAGCTAATCCAATAATCATCTGTTTTCCTCCTAATTTAATTCTATTAGAAATTGTTCTCCTAAAGTGAAATTTAGTCTTCTTTCAGGCTGAATAATTAGGATTTGGGTGTACACATCTAAAGCTAAAATACATTACTGAATTCATCCATTGGGTGAATGTGGCCCTTGGTTTCACATTGCTAGAGAGCAATCTACACCACCAGCTGGACAGAGAACTGAGGAAGTAAAACACAGTCACTAGGATGGACCAAAAGAACTGAACTCTTAAAGAAAAAGATTAGACTCTCTGCCAAAACTTATCTGCAAATCCCTCCCAGACATTAACGAAGAGATCGTTTGTAGTCAACTTCTCCTCTTGAGTGAGGTCTAAGTTAATATGCGGAGATGAAACCAAAAATGGAATATTCTGGATAATAGCAGAAGGAAAAAAGGGGGAAAAGAATATATTTCCTGAATTGGGATAAGGACAGTGCTTCTCTCATCTCTCTGGTTACTTAGCTGCTATTTGGTGACACTTTACTAAGGGTCAAAGCACTACCCTGAGGGCCCGATCACAGCAACAAGAAACTTTCAAAGTTGAACTTTAGAAGCTGCTGCCAAACAGCAGGTGCAAGCGTCCTCTCTCACAACCAACACCATCATCAACATACTTGGCTCTGGTCTTTCAAATCAAACTTCAACTTTTTAAAACCATTTCATTTGGCTTTTCCTTGAGAAATAGCACCACTTTGTTAAAAGCACCTTAACAGCTCAGCTTTTCCATCCCTTGTGTTTGGTCAATCGTTTCTAGTTAGTTTCCCTCGCTGGTGGCCAAATCGTGTCTATATTCTTACTGGCTCGAACACTCGAAAAATCAGAACGAATAAAAAAATCTTCTTTCTCTGAAAACAGTCCAGTGAAAGGGGGTCAGTAGAAGTGCCTGAGAAGACAGGAACAGGTGCCCCTGGGAATTCAATAAGAACCCTCGTTCCCATCCTTGAAATGCGATGCAGCTCTCTGGTTGGCTGTTTCTCCAATACAGTTACTGGTGTAAAGTGGGGGTGCTTCTCCCCAAAATGCTTCGTGCCCTGAAAATAAACCTCTTGCAGGGCTGTTAATGTGCGGAGGAATCTCTAACCTGGCTGTGGGCCTGGTGGAACTTCCATTTTCCCAGCCCTCCTTCTCTTGCCTCAGGCTCATTTTTCCACTTGGGCCCCCTCCCTCTCAGCTTTCCGGCACTTAGTCACCATTATAGTTTGACTGCATTCCTGGGTGCATGACCTATTTTAAACAAAAACAACACAACATGTACCCACGGTAAGCTATCAGGCTCCTTAAAATCTTGGCAACAAGTGAGTCCAGAGGGACAGAAATTAATCTAGGAAGTTATCTAGAGTCCCCTTTCATTTCACCTCTCCTCGCTCATACCCCAAACCAAAAGCAAATTAAAAGAAACCCAGTCTGAAGAAAAATGGCTGGGGGATGAAGAAGAGGGGAGTGTGGGTGTATTGCAGAGGTCTTAAACCCATATGGTCTCTAAGATCAGAAGACTCCTGGATCACAAATCAACCTCCCTCCCTGTCCCATCTCGAAGTTTGATTCCCTTCATGCCACTGATGCCGCCTACCGGCATGACTGGCATGATTTCCATAAACATAATTTCCTGTCGCCTTGGGAATTCAGGAGAGGGTATCTGTCCACAAGTGTAGAACAAGGCCATCTCAAGGGGGGACAGGGCTATGCAAAACGATGCTTAGGGGACTGGAATTTTAACTCAACACTGTCTCTTGATTTCTTGGATCTTCTTGGTCTCTAGAAAGCAGATTTTCCCCCATATCGCTTGTATCCACCAGCTCTACTACCAATACTAAGAATTTGGCTTTAAAGTACAAGTATTTAAACAGCTCAAGACAAGAAACTTCTAACTCTTAATTTATACTTGCATGAGGCTAAATCCTCCAATGGCCTCAGCAGCAAAGGTCTATAATTAAGGTTCAAAAAGATTGTTATATTTTGTTAAACTGCTTACCCTTCTGGCCAGGGAATGTGGAATAGCCCCAACACCCAGGGTAAAGTGAGATTGTGGGAAATATGCCAGCACGAGGACAGACCATGCTCAACGAGAGCATGGAGCAGATCCACATCTCCCTTGAAAGGCCTCCAAATGTCAACTTACCTTACTCATTCAACCTCACCTCCATGGCTCCACACTATGCAAGTGAACTCCCGCCAAGCTCATTTCTTCTACATTCATTCCTATTCCCATACCTTCTCCTATATTGCCAGCACCAGCCTACCTTTGTCCCTGACAAATGCTTGCTTCTCTCTTCTGCGCACTAGTCAAATTCTCCCATTCTTCAAGATCGAGCTTAAGCCTCTACTTCCCTGATTCCTCCACATTCCTCCCCCTCTCATGTGAACCCTTAGACTGAACCTACCACAAACCTAGGCATTGTTAGCTTTTCGCAGCTGTATGTCTTATGTGTCCAATATAATCATAAATTCCATAGGATCGAGTCTTAAACCTTTCAGTACTTCTAAAAGTGGATCTCAACCAACATGCTGCAAAGCACTGGTACCCCAGGAACCCTGAATAACTGTGCCAGCAAATTTTAAACAATTAATAGATTTTATTTCCATTCAACTAAAGATCTACACTTTTATGAAGATTTCTGTCAGACACACCACTGAGCCACAATGTGGCTCATGACACAATTTACTGCAAATAAGAGGAAAATTGCATGTTTAGAGGAACATATATAATTTTACCTCAAAGGATATGAGAGAACAAGGGCAGGAAATAGTTCTACTCAAACAGTAACATACCAGACAGTGAACAAGTAAATAGACAGGTTTTCTGAAACTTGCTTTATTGAAAAAAGACATTCGCCTTTTAATTCCTTAATATACTATCAAAAATTCTAACATCATACAAAACTATGTCTTAGACAAAAGGTGAGAACCATGTTCCTAGAGTAACAGGTATTTTGATAGATACCGCTCAGGGACTGCTTAAGCAAGTTCTCCAAAGTAGAGTTCTCCCTCTGGCAAGTCACCCTTTCAGCAGTGCCTGAGGATCTTCAGGAGCCTGGACGCACTACCTTCAAGCTCCAACAGCCCTTCCTAAAAATGAGTAACACACCACATCTTCAGGAATTCAACCAAGGACTCCAAATTCTTATGCTAGAGAGGCTTGAGGGAAGGAATCTGAGCAGATAAAATAACTTAATGTGGCACCCACATGTCAGAGCTGTCTAAAGCAGTTTCAGAAGCACTGGGTATAACCCTGATTCTTTACATGAGCCTAGGATTTAGGGCCGTGTTCACATTCATACCCATTCCGTCCTGCTACTGGGCAAGTTCTGTATTTGCAGGGTACTTGGCCAGTGTGTGTGTTCTGCAAGACGTTAAGAGATATTAAGCAGGAAAAAACAGAATTTTATGGTCAAAACATTTTGGACAATGCTGGCTGAAACAAAATTAAACAGGTCTGTCTATCACAGGACTTCTCAGTGTCTTTAATTTACCAATTAAATTAATTTAAATTAATTCCCAAGAAAGAAGATGTGAAGTACAGCATTTCCCACACTCAAGTGATCACAGAATCAGTTTTGCAAGAATTCCACAATACAACTTTCAGAAAGACTGATCTAGCACTTTCTGAGAATAAACAGCAAGGAAGATGCCCCTATTCTTTGTGAACAGGCCATCCTCTGAGTCATGAATTAGACACTAGCAGACGCAGAGGGGACTTTGCCCTCATACCTTCAAATTGACTTTTCCCTGGGCTCCCCATCTGAAATGTGAGGAACAATTACACTGCTCTGCTTCTTGGGGTTGTTTTTTATTGTTTTTAATCTTGCAACAGTGTTCTATATTAATCACCAAAACAGGTTCTCAGCCCAAGTGGCCAGGCTTCAAAATCCCTGGTGCCCTTCCAGCCTAGAAGAAGGGATGGAGAGAACATGAACCAGACACCACCCAGAAAGTTTTTACATCTCCAGTTTCTAGGCCATTATGATAAAGCCAAACTGCAGCCAAGATAAGGGATGAATGAGAGGTTCTTCTTTAGTAACTCACTTCTGGAGGGAGGCCTCTCTCAAGCACACACACCACCTGTGTCTGAATCTCGACACACCTTTTCAATATGGACTCAAGGAAAACTCAAAGAAACATGGGAGGTCAAAGCTGGAGCTACAGGGAAAAAAGAAAAAGTACTGGAAGAAGACTATTTCCCTTTCTCTACAGAGAAAGAACCCATTACAGAGTTAGTGAGCAGGGGAAATAGCATTCCTTTCAATGAGGCAGCTTTCAAGGAAAAGTATCTCAACATATTTACTATATAACAATTTAATTTCCCTGTCCCATCACCTGCCACCCCATCCCCATCCCCCCCCCCCCCAAAAAAGCCCACAGATTGTGGATTTCCTCTCATTCTTGGCAGAGTTACCAGAAGAAATATAATACCCTCTTCGGACTGCTCCCAACAGCTGCTGGAACAAGAGGGGAAGCTGGGGGTAACCTTCCAAAGCTGCCTCTAAAAAGGACCATTCCCACCGCCAAACCAGGCAGCCAGTGAGCATAAGACTTCCCTTTCTCTACTTTCTTAAAGCAAGGGGAGACCCCAAAAGGAACAGTGTCCCCTAGTCCAAAATACTTGCCTCCAGCCCATCTGTTCTCCTCAACTTGACTCTAAGATGAAACTTCCGTACAGTAAGCTACTACTCTATTTCTTCCCTGACATGCATTTCTTGAAATAATCTTCCACTACTCACAAGACTAGTACTCTTTGTTTGTTTAATCCACCAATTTCCAAGTTAGGGTTCTTACCAAACTCCTGTCTAGTATAATTCCCTGTCTCGGTCCACCTCCCCAGTACCATACTCGTCGTACACACACACATACAAATCTCCTTTCAGGTCAAGAGCCTTGAAAAACACAAGTCTAGGAACAAATTCAGCAATGGCTACACTGTACCCCAGCCTTTTTCCCCTTCCCCAACATCATCATATACTAAACGCATCTCGGTTCTATCTAGAAAAGGCCCATCACCAGGCAGCAGAAAGACTTCCAGTTAGACTTCTGCCTCTCAGCTGAGACCACCAACAAAGAAGTTCACGAATGTCAACTGCGGGGAGAGGCAATATCTCTCTTTGCCGAGGAGAAACTGGACAGAGCCTCCAGCATTGTTCCCCAAAGGTGACAGCCGGGTTGAGTGAAGACCGTGAAAACTGTACAAGAGCTGGGGGAGAAAATATAATGTAAAGAATGATTTGGAATCAGGGGCAAGAGAAGGCAGAGGGATGAACTGGCTGACCCCAAATGTCTTTTCCATCTCTAACGCCTATGATTCTTTGACCTCCAATTTTGTGCTGTGGACAAGGAATGGAAAGTCAACAGACGTGGTGATGTTTTGAAAGAGCCTGGCAGTCTGCTCTTGTCATTTAGTGGCCTTTGCATGTATTTTTTAAGGTGTCTCCAAGCCCTGTCTTCATTTCACAGTTGTCACCTTTCTCAGCAATTTGAGCTCATGTCAAATACCAAAAAAGAAGAAGAAGAAGAAAGAATGTACTGGCAATTAATTGTAGGCTAAAGAGGGGCAGGCACAGTGGCCCATTGGGTGGCCCAGACTTCCAGGGACGGCAATGTAGACAGTCTGGATATAATGAAGAACTGACTCAAAGTAGAGACAAGGCAGCCAAACCTCTAACAAGAGATAAATTCTTCCTCCAGATAGTCTCATACTTGGTTTTAGATACAGTTCAAGTATTTACATGATTCAGGACTCATAAACACATTCTTAATTAGCACAACCATCTTGCTTCTGTTGATTACAACTGGAGTTCCATCTGAATCCTGTTCAAATCCGAGCAAGACTGCTGAATAGAAGGGACTTTCCTCAAGAATAAACCAAATCTTTGGATTCTCAACATCATCGGATGGTTGACACACCTGAGATAATGCTGGCACTTAGCAAAAGTCTGTTTCTGTAGATCAAAGTGAGGGGCATGCCAATTTTCACTAAAAATTCAAAACTCAACTTTCTCCTCATTTTTTCAAACAGTTGATCCTATCTTAAATTTTAAAACTTTACTGGAGCCTGGCCTCAAGAAGAGTCTCCCTGAATTTCTCCCTGTTCCCCAGTTATGAGTCAGGACCAGAAACTAATCCAATGCCAGAGTCAACCCAGAATTAAGTTGTCAAACTAAGGTAATTCTTTTCTATGTCAAATACTCAAAAATAATTTTTTTTAAATCTGAATGCTTCGCCCGTAGCCTCACTGTCAGTTTGATTTCCGCAGCTCAGGCAAAATCTTTACCTAAGGTGAAGCTGCCAGACACAGAAAACTGAAAGTATGGAGTATTGAAATATTTTCAGAGATTTCATTCCAATGTGAATTGTTTATCTTGCAGATTCTGAGGACTTTGGGTTTCTCCATGTTTCTGCCTTGAAAGCTAGGAAATTCATCCCCTACTATTCAAGTTTTACAAGACTGGAAAGGCTATAAGCAGCTTCTATACGCTCCCAGTCTTGGAAGAAAGAACTCTTCCATTCTCCCAGTTTGCATGTGGAGGTACTGACTGTGTTAGATATTTCCTGCTTCCACAGGTGTATTGTTTTATTTATTTTAAGTATGTAAACTGAACTCAACTTTTATTAACTCACAAAACCATTAAAAATAAGGCTTTCCAATATGGCTAAAGATAAATACATCCATAGATAAAACCTTTCAATGAACTGGAGCACAAGTAAGTGACTCTCCTTCCTAGGTAAGGCAGAAAGGTGAAGGAGAAAGCCAAAACTACTTTAAGTTGCTAATTGTTTTCTGAAAATCACTGTTTAGACCTTAAATGTAACCAGTCAGCAATGCCTTCTCCATTCAGAGTCAGGAAAGGAAACTTTATGCTTTCTGGGACAAAAAAATGCTCTTAGGCACAATCATTTTAAAACAAACAAACACACTCTGCTTATCTGTGTCCATCTCACCACTCTGGACGTTAATCATCACTGAAATAGATACCCCAGCGCCCAGCCTCAAAGAGCTCCAAGCCCACAAGCCCCTGGCTGAGGAATGAATGTACATGCCAGGGCAAACACCTCAGAGCCTTACTCCCTAAACACCTATTTGTTAATTCTAGGCAAATCCATCACAGCCAAATGCAAGAGAGCACCCAGGTATTGCTCAAAGGATATTTAAAATAAAATTCAAGTTTGAAAACAAGTAGGAGTTAATTTGGAAGGAAGAGGATCAAGTAAGTTTTCTTTAATATAAGACTGGCAAAAGTATCAAAAAAACACACACACAAAGATTTACACACACACTTTTTTCTTTCCATTCCTGTTAATTTCCAGTATCAGAATTTGCAGATAGCACTTCCGTCACACCGTCTGTCTAACTTCTTGCATTTAGCCTACAGTATAAACTGACAGAGTTAAATTTCTCTGTTTTCTTCTTGAAGACTGAACTAGGTTAGTTTTCCCCCTACTCTTTAGGGGAAACTTAAAAGCCTGCTATATGAAACATTTCCTTGATTTTTATATTAAAGATAGTTCTAGTCCCCCAGGCTTCATAAAACCTTCAAACGAAACTGATTTTAAACCAGATGACTGACTCAAACTGTCTTTGTGTGCACTTTAAAAAAAAAAAAAGCTCAGGATACCTACTGGTGATCACTATTTGGGCAAGAGGCCTAAAGGGAAGCAAATTATTTGTTTGTGGTTTTAAAGTGGCCAAAATGCCTTCAAGCACAAGTATAAGACCATTAACAAATAGCAAGGAATCAAAGCAGGTCATCTTACTCAACAAAGCTATGATCAGTTAGGAACAGCCAAACTGAAGGGGACTTGCCCTGGGCCGGAAGGTCAGTAAACCTTAGCAGTTTGTGTTTCTGAGAATCAAGAGGCTCATCGGCAGGGAGTGCAGTCCCTAAGCCCACAGGTTCTACTGTCTTGTTTCCAAAAACATTCAAGTCAGGTGAGAGAAACTAAGCCGTGTGTGTGTGTGTGTGTGTGTGTGTGTGTGTGTGTGTGTGTGTTTTCCCCCACCTCCTGTCTTTAGGCAGCATCTCCATGCCAAACCATCTCCACTTCTGTTATATACAGACTGACTAGCGGAGAAACCAAGTAATTAAAATTAATAAATTCATTAAAATTAATAAATTGTGCAATTTATTGAGTGCCTACTATGTGCTGAACACTGTGCTGGCACTTAGACACTACTACATTTAAGCCTCATTTTACTGGGTATGTTATTCTTTACGGGTGACAAAACTCTGGAGCAGTGAGGGTGTGTGGCTTCTGATAAAACGAAGTTTTGTGTTGTGCTTATAAAAATAATCCTGCGGTCCAGTCTTCAGTTAATCAGCCCAAAGCATGAACTACAGCCCTGCAACAATCCAAGCGGTCATACTCTCACTGAACTTTGGGCCAGGCTCCCTAATGCCCTATGAGGACTGGGGTGCATGCCATCTCCCTCCAGGGATGACAACCGCCTCTCTTGGTGGCTTATCACATCCTTGCAGCTGTCCAGAAACAGACCACACTGGTAAACACTCTCTCCACCTGCTGTAACATGCATAACTTCTCCCTTCAACTCAGAAAACACACACGATGATCCTGCTCTTTATCAAATGCTGTGGTAAAACTTCCCTAGAAGGTCGGAGATACCTCATCCTAGAACACAGGCAAGAAATCAAAACACACATGGCTAATAAAGAATAAAGCCATATCACCGGGCAGTCTCAAAGCACTTTATACCATAAACTCACTTTCATTTTGTTGCTTCACTATCGTTGCTTACAGAATACACACTTTCCCATTATCTCTCTTTGAGAAAATTTGAAAAGGAAAGAAAAGTAAACATCAATTCTTTCATTCATTCATTCAGTCTCTACAAGGAGAGAAAGCCCAACTTTGCTTTGGCTGGCTTGGGTTCCAGTCATTTTAGCCAACTTTCTTACAGGCCAACTGATAATGTTCTTTCAAAGAGTTTTTCTTATAAGAAATGAAGGTCACAAGACTGCATGCCCAAAAACTCCCAAAGAATCATCATCGTCATCAACAAAATAATACTAGAATAGACAAAAGTTAAGCAAAATAATCAGGTTCAAAATTTACAAAAGATTATAGTAATCCTGTACATCATTAATAATACCCATCTGGAAAACATACTGAAAAAGACACTGTATTCACAATAAAAACAGAATATTTAGGAAAACTTAGGAATAAGTGTAACAACAGATATGTGGGAACTTTATAGTGAAAATCTCAGAAACTTTTGAAAAGGCACAGAATTTTTTTGCTGGGGAGTTGAGTGGGAGTGCAGATGTCCCCCCCACACAAAAATCCAACAAGGATAATCTAACCCTAACAGATATTAGACTCTATCAAAAAGCAACAATATTTAAAATAGTATGGAAATGGAAAAACGTATCAGTGGGAGAAAATGGAGTGTTCAGATATGGATCCAATACATATACATATGTATGTATGTGGGCACATATGTATATACATAAACTTAATATTTGGCAAAGTAAGCTTTCTAAAACAAAGGGAAAGACAAGAATTATTTAACAAAAAGTGTAGAGAGAACTAGGTAGCTGTTTAGAAAAAAGATGAATTCACCCCTTGTACCAAAACAAAAGTGGTGTTCATGAAAGTGTTAACTATTAAAAAAATCAAATTATAAGAAACCCAAAGAGAGCCTGTGGAGGAAGTATAAATTTCTCAGCTTTGGAGAAAAAAAGGAAAAAAAGTCACAAAAGACTGACAGATTCTGATATATTTAAGTGTAAAACATCTGTAGGCTAAAAACAGTAAAGTAAAAAGAACTAACTGGGAAAAATACTTGCATCAAAGATGATAGACTAGAGCCTAATATCTATGACCCACAGGGATTCCAAATTTATAAGAAAAACATCAAGACCCCAATAACAAATGGGCTAAGACTAGGAACAGACAATCTCACAGGTGAAACAAACACATGGGAAAATCTTTATCCGGGTCAGTGGTGAAAGAAATGCAAAACAACAAAACTTTGAGATACCATTATGTGTCCACTAAAACAGCAAAGATTTTTAAAGTTCTCACATAAAATTGGTTTAGTTTCTGGTGCCACTATAACTTGGTATTAACACCTTTACAAACTATAACCTTTGATCCAATAATGCTAATCTCAAGAATTTATCCTAAGGAACTAATTCAAAAGATATATATATTATAGAGTATGTGACATATCTCAATAAAACTGTTACCAAAAATGTGTTATTCATTTCATTGTTATCTACAATAGCAAAAAGCTGGACATAAAATGAAAGTTTAATATTAGAGAAATGTTTTTAATCATCTCATTATTGTATAGCCCACAAACATTTATTGTGTACCTATTCTGTTAGGATCAGTAAGATAGCAACTAAGACGGGGCAAGAAGTGCGCAACGGAAAAGTAACTTTTGAAAATGAATAGTGGTCTAGAGGTGGTGGTATTAATAGCTTTTTATGTTTTAAAACAACTTTCTTTAATGTTGTTATTCTACATTAGAACCACCTTTGTTTTTTAAGCCAAACTGGACAGAGTTGGGCACAATCTGAAAGTTTTTACTCCTTCAATTCCTTACATTTTTTCCCCTTTCTATTTAACAGCTTAAGCGGTTCAGGGAAGTTTTTCATTCACAGGTCTCAGATCCTACCAAGAACAGGCCAAACTGCAATACTGTGCCTGTGTACATAGCCTAGACCTAACCCAGCCCCTGCCATGAGCAGGCACCCTTTTCTGTGTCATTCGGCCTGTATCTAGTCATAAACTATGGTTGACACTTGGACCAAGGGCCTTCTTTTCGGGTCTGAGCTCCCTTCTCCACATTCGATTTTCTACGAGCCCTGAAGCCCAACAACCTCTAGAAAACGAGTGAGAGGATGAACGTCCACAAGAACCTTCTGCTAGACCACATAGTGGACATGGTCCTAGACCTGGACCGGAGGAGGCCTCCAAAGCCACAGACCAGCCGGGCTCCTCTGGGACTGAGGCACCGTGGCAGTCAGTGTCTGCGAAAAAACACAATTAAAAGCTTAAGGGAGTGCTTAAGATGGCTAATTGTGAGGAGCCGCCCACGGGGAGGGTGCAAACTCAGAGATGCTCTCTGGAGGCTTCCTGGCATGGGGGCCTCCGAGAGGAGGAAGGCGCTCGGGGAGGGGTCTCGGCGGAGGCCGGGTGTGGGCCTCGCAGTTCGGGGTGCGACCCGGCCCCGGGCCGACCAGGCCGCGGCGCCCCGCCCTTTCCCGGGACGCGGGCCGGCCCGGGGCGGGGAGCGGGCGGGCGAGCGGGCGCTTACAGGTCGGTGCCGAGCCGCGTGAAGCCGGAGTTGAGCGAGGCCCGGGCTATCCGGCGCCAGAGCAGGTCGCAGCTGGTGAAGCGCCGCAGCCAGCGGCACACCTGCGCCAGGCGGCCGAGGGCCTGCATGTCCAGGTAGGAACAGATGAGCAGCAGCAGCTCCTCCGGCAGGCGCCAGAGCGCGGGCCCCGCCGCGGGCCGGCCGGCCGGCTCCCGAGTCGCCGCCTCCTCCTCGGCCGCCGCCGCCATGGCCACCCCTGGCCCCGCGATGCGGCCCCATGCCTGACCCCTTCGTCCCTGCGCTCTCCCCGGCCTTGCGTCCTCCCGCCGCCCGGTCCTGACCCTCCATGCCTCCTTCTTCCCATCATCTCTTCCCTTGGCCTCCTTCCCCGCCCCTGTGCTCCCCTCAGCTCCCCTCGCGATCCTTCTCGCCCCTTCCTCCACGCTTCCGCCTCCCTCTCTTCCCGCCCCCGGGCCTGCCCTCGCTCCCGCCTCGGCCCCCAGCCCCGCTGCCTCCGTCGTCTTCTGCGGCTCCGGCTGCCCTTCCGCCCCGCTTCCTCTTCCGCCTTGCCCTGCTCCCGCTTTCCCCTTCCCCTTCCCCTTCCTTCGCTTCCCTCTCGCGACCCTCCCTTCCTGCAGTTTCCTCGCCTCCCCGCCCTCGCCCTCGCCGGGCCCGCCGTTCCCGGGGGGCCCCCAGCGGCCCTGGCTGCCCATGAGCGGCCGCGGGGCCGGCCCGACGCGGAGCCGAGCCCGAGCCGCCGCCGCCGCCGCCCCGGGAGGAGGCGACACCATGTCGGACCGGGTCACATGGGGCGGCGCGGGCCGAGGCCTGGGCCCGCCCCTCACACCCGCAGCCGTGGAGCGGCTTCGGGGTGCGGGCCAGGGCTGCGGAGTGGACCCCCTCCCCCGTCCCCGGGGCCGCCCGGAGCGGCTGGTGGAAGCACATGCATTCAGACGGCCGGCATGCGAGGCGGCTCAGGGCCTGGCCAGAGGCCTCAAGAAGAGCTTCTGCCTTTAAGCAGCAGCTGTTTGCAGCCCCTGCCCTCAAGAAGCATCCACATGGGTACCCATCCCTCTCTGCGGGCCCTTCTCTTCCTCGGGTGATGCCTCCTTTCCACAGGCCACATACCAGGGCCTCACCAACTGCAGCCCCAGAAGTTGGCAGGTTCCTTAACCCGGGCTCTCATGCAGAATGTGAACCTCGGTCCTGGCTTTGAGCTGGTATTTTAGATATTTGGGGAGGTTGCAGTCCTCTAGATCCTGAATCCATAACTCCCCAGTCATGCATCAGTACGTGGCAAATAAGTACGTGTTCCTATTAGTCACCACACAAGTGCAAGAGGTTTCTCTAAGGTCACCCAAGAGCCCTTTCCCACACCACCCCTTCCATTCAAAGGGCACGAATCTGAAGGGAGAGCTGAGAAAAACGTACTGAAGTCTAGACATGCCGTCCAGCACGGTCCCCCCAGTCACACGTTGGTTATTAGGGATTTGAAATGTGGCTGGTCCAAATTGAGGTGTGCTATAAGTGTGAAACACACACCAGATTTTGAAGACTTATACAAGAAAAAGAATGTGAACTATCTCGTTAATGATTTTATATTAATTACATGTTGAAGATTTTTGATACATCGGACTAAATAAAATATTTTAATGTAACTACTAGAAAAATTTGAGACTATACATGTGACTTGTATTTGTGGCCCACATTATTTTTCTATTGGATAGCACTGGGCTGGGCAGTAAGATTTGGGGGGGGGCGTGGGCAGGGGGAGAGGCCTACCCCTGTCTGTCTATCCTGTACCCTGAATACTGATAGGAAGAATTTGAGGGTTTTATTTTGTATTTACATTTTAAGACCCATGTTCAAGGAGCAAGAGTGAATCAGAAATCAACTCTGGAAATTATTCAACGTCTAGCATAGCCCAGGAGAAACCTAGGGAAGTAACTACACTGCATTATGGTGCTCCAGGAGCGTCATGTAACAAGGTCAGACCGGAATCTGGCTTTGCCCTAGAATTACTTTTTGATCTCAGCAAAACAACAACAAAAAAACCCTCAGTCTGTAGTGAAGATAATGTCTCTGCCTTACTTTCGAGGGATAAATGAGATGATCCCTGTAAAATGCTTTGAACTTCTCTAAGAAAATTCTCAATAATAGTTACAGGTCAAATCCTGTTACAAAAAATACCCTTACAAAAAAAAAAAAAAAAAGGAAAAATACAACAAAAGCTTTGTGTAGAAAAAGATTTCTAAACTCCAGCCAGTGGTTTACTTATTAAAAGCAATATTTGATACAACATTTCAATACAACTAAAGAATTTAGACCATCTCTTAGAGATCATTATAAAGAAATTTACTTATTCAGACTGTTAAAAAGGCTGTAGATGAGGAATGTTGCAAATTGAGGTCATGTCATCAACTTAACATTTATTGATTTTGCTACATTTGTGTACTGTGAGCCACTCTGGAAGGAAGACAAAGATGAATACAGCATATGGTTCCTACATTTTATGTTCAGATTTGTATTAGACACATTTGTAAATTCTTACTGTTTGACAATTTTTTAACTATTCCTTTACACAGAGTAAAGCTGAGTAGTTCATCCACCTTGTACCTAGTAGTTTTAGTGGAGGACTTGAAGGCATAGAAAATTATTTAATTAACCCAACATAAATCAAGTCAGTATTAAAATCCACAATTGCACAGGTATAACTTACTCTTTACCCCATGTTGCCTTCATTGATGGAGAAATTAAACTATCATTTAAAAACATCAAATCACCCTCTTTCACACCCAAACTAGAGATCAAGTGAACTGTTTAAGCTAGAATTTATGGTTTAATGATTTCCAAAAAGAGCCAAAGTACTCACTATGCAGAAAGGCAAAGCCAAAAATGGAAAATTGGCATATATTCTGTTATTTGGTGGTGATGTGTATCCCTAAATTACTGAGCATTTAAAAAAAAAACCCTTACAGTTTAGTCTCAGCTCAGAGAAGCAGCTAGAATTTTTCATCAACCTTCCCTCCCCCTCTAAACAAAACAATCCAATTTGGGGTTTCCCAAAATTGAAAAAAACTGCATCACAAAAAAGCACTTTTAAAATTCTTCTTTGGGACAGGGTATTTTAAAAATTCAACTGTAGCTGAAAAGATGAGTTTGTAACAAAAGTAAATGCGTATCTTCATGGAGAACCTGAATAGCATTTTACTATCAAAGAAAATAAATATATTAATAGCCAGAAAAAAAGGAGGATAGAGTACAATGGACTTAAGAACATCTTTAAGAAAAGCCATCAACTCCCTTGAAATTCAAATCCAGGAATCAATGAAAATGAAATAATATAGGAGGGTAAAATTTACCTTTACTTTTATAAAGCTTTTTATAAAAAAGCTTTATTAATAAGTAAACTGAAAACATTAGACAACTTTAAGAATTAGACTACTTTAGAATGGCAAAATTGTGGAATTCATAATATATTAAAACTTAAGACAATATAAATTACATACTGGGTATTTAGAAACACTAATAGCAGTTTATTTTTAAGGAGGATATTTAAGTATACAGATACAAAGTGTTTTGTGTATGTCCATGTAAGTGACATACATAATAGTGATTATTGCTGTTATAGGTAGTATATAATGTATGTTTAGCATTGTAAAAAGGCTAGAATTGTACGTTCAGTCCGTTCTTATAAACATAGGTGACAATCTCACACAGGAGTCTGTTCCCACCCATAGTAGCCAACATCCACATGCCCATTTGGTTAAGCCCTCAGAGCCCCAGCCTTTAATTTTAAAAGTAGGCATATTTAACAGGGGAATTATTCTGAGATGAGTGAAAAAGAGATTATTTTGTGAATGACAAATTTCAATGTCATACATTGGCTCAGATACTCACCATTATTCCTCTATAATAGTAATAGCTGATATTTATTGAGCACTTACTATATATCAGAAACTATCATTAGAGCTTTCCATGTATTGTCTGACTTATTCCTGTCAACAATCATAGAAGGAAGAGAACTATTAACCCATTTTTTGCAGAAGATGAAACTGGGGTTTATGGTGACGTGGTTCCTAAATGGCAGAGCAGATAGCAAATGCAGACAGTCTAAGCCCAAAGCTTGTCTCTGAACCATGCCTTCACCATACACAGCAGGAAATGGAATAAGGCACAGAATTCAGGGTCCTCTGAGGATCGCTTACAACTAATAAAGACACAGCCAATAATACTATACTTTGCCTCTGGCCATCAAGCAGTTCTGGTATCTAAATAAAAGCTGTTTCTAAGCAACGAAAGTAGCCCCTGTTCTCGTCTCAGTTGCTTTTTAAGAGTTAACCATGTAGACCTACAACCTCTTAATGCTCTTCATAATCTTTCTGGAAAACTTGAAAGGGATTTGTAGGAATTAATATATCTTACAAAAGAACATTTAACTGAAGTTTAGTAATTCCTTCATTTTGCTTCCGCTTTATTTTCTTCAGTTAAATTTAAGTAACAAAATATATATATGTCATGTATTATATGAGCCTTTTTTAATAAATTTGTCCCTATCTGTATATATGCAAAGGGAGATTTTGTAGAATGAGGTTAATAATGGTTATTTCTAGGTAAGAGAATTTTTGGATTTTGCTTTGTACTTATCTGTATTTCTTGATTTTTTTTTTAGTAAGAAACGTGTCACCTTTATAAAATCAATAAAGTCTCTCAAAAAGAAAAAGAGTTGTCGTGAGTCCAAACACACCGTGCAACAAGAACGTTGGAGATTCTAAGCCTAGGTCATTGCTACAGTTTTTAACTAGCCACCTAAGTTTCTTCGAACTTTATTTATTCCATTTAAAATGTGTATCATGTAATAGTAAAATAAAGAACAAATTAGAGTATTAGAAACAATAAGAGGCCTACAGTGAATGTTGTATCTACAAATATTTCAGCATCTCATAAATAGAAGGGTAGAGGCTAGTGTTGTTTTCAGAAATTATCTATCAAGTTGGTAGTTTATATTCTGAAATCCTGTTTAAAAACACCACTAAGATCTGCTCTGTTTTTCTGTGAATCTACTACCTTTGTCATATTCAAAGATAAAATATTTTTATTTCAAAATGAAACTATTTAAAGTACTGTTTAAAAA